GCGCCCATTTTCCTGGGCCAGGACGCCAATCAACAACCTTACAATTCCCACCCAACCTACCACACAAGGAAGTAAATGCGCTGCAATACTGAGTGGTAAGAGGAGGTCCAACCATTGCCCCTGTTTCCTATTTAAACTGAAAATATAAATTGCTTTTGGGTAAGCCAATGCAGGTCCGGAGTTTCTGAATGATCTCCAGTGGTGCCTCCCCCATTCTGAGTTCCCGTGAGTGTGGGATTATAACCGTAAAGCGAAGCTCAGGAACTTGACCTTCCCAGGGACTGGAGATAATGCTGCACCCACTGTTCACACTTTTCACAGGAGGATAAATGCCTGTGGGTGTGCCCAGGGCATTTCTGCGACTCTGCTGTCTTGTGATTGTGAATTCTGTTCACAGTCTAGTAGCAATTAGGAAGGATTCCCTCCCAACCCAAGTAGTAGTCAGTTATGCAACGCCTAAGTTGCTGGGGGCAGGAGTCTAGTGTTTTTGAACATTCACATTCAGGAGATGGAGAAATGCTCATTAAACTGGCCAAATTCGAGTAAGCTGGGGGTGTTGGTGGTGAGAACCTTGGGTCCAACCTGGACTTGAAAACTGGACGTGGTGTTGGAATAAACAGACGGAGGTTCCATAAGGCCAAGCGGAGAGTGGCTCCTAGTAGGTAAGACACCTATTCAAATGCATTGGGCAAACTGAGAAAGAGAGAAAGATACAGGAGTCATAGGGAACCAAGATTAATGTGAGTGAGTAAAGAAGTATGATTTCCTGAAAGGTAAGGGCCACAGATGGGTGCATAAAGAGGGAGTAGAGGGTTAGGTTCGAGGCTGTAATTCAGGTGTGGTCAGTTGTCATACTGGCGTCATGATTAGTCATAAGGTTCCATAATTTAAGAGCAACATCAAGGATTTATAAATTAGGCTTAGTAGAGAAGAATTGTAAAAATTATGAAGGTTAGGAAAAATGATGCAAAAATACTAATCTAAAGACAGTTTTGATGAAAATAAAGTATTACATAGTGGTGACTCCTAACTGTGTCAAGGGTAAATAGAAAGAGTGCCCGCTTGCAGTTCTTTTCTGCCAAAAAGAAAAACACAGGTGAAGTCATCGATTTGAAGGGCAAGGTTTCACCTGGAAACTTTTCTGATGCCGATGGCTGTTAATGTTAGTTGATGGAACTGGGTTACACCAGGCACGTCTGTGCTGGGACCCCTCTCCCACAAGAGGGGGTCCTTTAGATTAAGGTACTAAGTTGGACAAACTCTCTTAACAGAATTAAGCCTTTAGGAAACCCCATGCAAATCCCATGACCCTTTTCCAAACTTCGGTATTTATCTGTTTTCCAGTCTGTCCATCAATCATTTGGCGGAAGTGTTTTGGTTTAGATCATCTGATGTTGCCCAGTCTCTCACACATTGGAACACAGCTGTCTATCCAGTCATAACTACAGGGTCATTTTCGTCTCTAAAAAAATGACTAAGTGGTCGATCGGTTTGTCCTGAGTAGCGCTTTCTTTCTCTTGAAAGAATTGTCACTAGCCAGAGTAAAGATGACTGTGAAATTCAGGTGGTTCTGAGCATGACTGATGGGCTGTGCGTGAAATGGGTGTGAAATGACAGTGCACACGTTGTGTGTGTGGGGGCGGGGTCTCGGTGGAAAGCTCGAGTTACTTCCATAGCAAACACGAGTGTGCCTACAACTACCATAGATGCCTACATTCCCCATCCGCCACAGCCCAGTGAAGTGAAACAAACATTGGGATGATGTAATGATAAGAAATGAGTTTAGTTGGTTGTGAGTGCCCTTTATTGCTTCTCTTGTCTGCTATACATTTCAGAGAATACCAAGAAGTGAGATTAAAAGAGAAACACAAAGATCCAGAGGCAAGAAGCTAAAGTTAAAGAGACAGCAAACCAGGGGCATATTACCTACCTTCCCCAAGGCCTCCTTGAGAAGGGAAACATTTTAAATCTGGGACTCTTGTAACTGGTTTAAAAAAGCCTGAATGTTGTAATTATTTTAAACTACCTGGGGGTATATATCAGTGTGCCACCTACTTTCTTGGGAATCCAGTAAAACTAAGTTGATTTCTCCTTTCTTTATTCTTCCCACATTAACTCCCTCTTAATGATAAGCCCTAATTGAAGACAGTATTGCTGGGGAAGCTATAAGAGTTGAGGGTGTGTCTTTAAAAATATTAAGCCAGTGGTTATGTGAGATCTGGCTTAGCAAGGATGAGTATTAGCTTCTATAATGAGCTTTCAGGGGACAGCTAACTTCTCCAGAAATCATCCTGAGGATATTTTATTTCTTTCGGAACAGGACTGACTCTTATAATATGGCCACTTAACTAATGGAGTAGCAATCTGCCTAGGTACAAGGAAGTATGGCATCCTCATAATCTCGTGTGTGTGTGTGTGTGTGTGTGTGTGTGTGTATGTGTGCGTGCGTGTGTGCGCGCCTTGGTAGAGATAAAGAATAAAGCTTACTGGAGTGTTTTGAAATGCTTGTATGCAGGTAGGTCATAGGACCCATGTCAGACAGTCCAAGCCAATCATTTCAGCGAAGCACTTGACAGAAGTTCCATCTCCTCCGTCTTTCTGCCTGGCCAGCAGCTCTGTCTGCTGTTATTTCTTTGGTCAGCTTTCTGTGAAGGTGGTCGGGGAGGGGGCTCCCTTCAGAGCTCACCTCCTACCTCCCTTTACAGAAGAGTTGGTTTAAGAGCTGTGAGCAATGGTGGGGAGTTTGCCAACTCTCTCCCTGCCCAGGAATGGATGTACTTTAATATTAATCAAATGTCTCATCAGCGAGGCAGCTGTGTTTTGCTGAAAAGGCTCTAAACCACCTGATTTGAGTCTTCCCTAGAAAGTAAATAATAATGGGCCTTGTCAGGTGCCACTTGTTAAAAGCCTTACAAAGCATTTCCCCCGAATATGAAACAGTCCCTGCCTCTGAAAAGGCTTTAGGATATTCTTCCACATCTGCCAAATTGATAAGCGACACTCCCTCTCCTTCCCTGCACAGGGCCTGTGCTTTCCGGATCTGTCATTGCTCGGCTCAGCCCACGGCCTGAGCGAAACACCATCTAATCCCCAGCTTCAGTTCTTCAGGAGCTCGTCAGGTTCAGAGGGCGGCTGGACTCAGTGGGGGAGTTCCCAATTTAGAAGGTTCTGTTTGGGCATTCTCAGTAAGAGCCAAGTTGCTCTCCTGTCCTGAGGCTGCCTAGGGCGGTGGGGAGGTGACAGCAAACCTGTGCCCTTCAAGGTGGGTAAATGGTGCAGCTCCTTTATTTTAGCCCCCAGCAGGAAGAAGCTGCTCTTGAATTTTTGGCATTATTTTATACCCTGTTCCAGGGAAGCGAAGAGAGTATCTGCAGTGCAAATTATTTCCCTCCTTGTACTTTTCTGTCGTGTATTTTTTCTCTCCATCAGCACTAGGGACATGGCTGGAAGACTGTGAATCTATACTCTTGGGGTGAGGAAATACATGGGTTGGGCACATGTGTGTATGTCGAGATGTGCATGTGCACAGAACAAACCCTGGGAGGTCAGGAGGAATGTTCCCTTGAGTTGTTGGTGAGCACGACTCTCCTTCCTTCACTTTGGCAAACGTGTGCTCCCTGCTTTTGAATCCTGAATGTGATTGGCTAAGAGGGTGAGGATGTAAGTGGTAGTGTTGTGTATACACATATAGATCTGCTATAAAGACATATGTTTATATATGTATACACACAGGCATGCAGAAGAGGCAGTAGAGGTGACCTACTTAGGAAAGAAACTTCCTTATGGGAATGATCTTTATGCTTTTTAAAGATCTGTTGTACACCATACACTTCTCTCTGGATTCTCCGTAGCCCAACACTTAACCTCACAGACACATAGCGAGGGCCCCGCAGGGCCAGGAGATGGTGCCTGTATACCCACACTGCAGTGTGCGCCACGGAGGTGGGGACTGGGCCTTGAGAGAGTGTCTTCTCAAGTACAGATCTTCATGAATGACACAAGGGTCCCTATGACATGGAGCTCCCAGGCAAGCGAAATGCTCCTTGGCTGCTTGGATGAGTCTTCGCTGGGATCTGGGGGCTGATGGGAAGAAGCGAGGAGGCGGGGGTGGGGGTGCGGCAGGGCTGGGGGTGAGGCGCGGGGGGGGGCGGGTGGAATGGAGAGACGCATCAGAAAGTGCTGGAGGAAGAACAGGGCTGCACCGGATCATCCACC